TATATTTGTTTAAAAATTATTTTATAAAATAAGCAAAATTGTTAGACCATCACGCTGGCTCTTTATACTGAGAACTTGGTAAAGAACAACTTTTTAAAAAAACAACTGAAAGACAACGACTGAATATATCACAATGAGTAGGCTAATCTATAGACAGGAGAAAGGTGAAAGTCAAAGAAAAACAGAAGAAAGAAAGAGAAAGAAAGAGCGTGAGAAAAAAAGAGGTCACGTGTCGGCTTTTTATCAGTACAAAAGTCACAAGTGTGAGGGATTTATGTACTTTTTTAAATTTACGGGGTTGTTGTTTTTTCTTTGTTTGATTGTTTACAAAGTTCAACGCAAGTTAGAAACATATTCAAATAAACATTAAAATGTTAAATACGAACACGCAAAAAAAATATTACATTTTGGCTTTAAAATATAAAGTAAAATAAAAATGCGCACTTCCTTCTAACTCTAATAATTTTTCCGTGGCCCAATAGATCTGTTTGCAGTTAATTCGTCGCTCGTTATTTTAAAGTAGGCCTAACTACGGAAAATGTGCGTTATTCGCGGCATCCTGTAAAAATAAATAAAAGTTTTCAACTTACTGCACGACAAAAAAATAAAATCCTTTATTCCAATACAGTGGAAAGTTCAAGTAATCCAAGTGAAATATTGGTCTAGTCCAATCACAGAAGGAAAAACAACAAGTCTCAGGTAGAATAAAAAAGAAAATCCTTTTCTGAAGTAAGAAGAACCAGTTCACGAAGGTAAATGCAGTCCTCTAGTACAGAAGCATTGAGCGAGTGAAGAAGTCGGGAGATCCACACTCGTCTATTCACGGTGGCAAACTACACCACACAACAGCGGTGACCAACAGTTATTGTACGCCTGAGAAAATCCAGTCGCTTGTGACTAAGTCAGCCTCGCGATTAAAGTACAACCCAAGCAGAGGAAGCGACCAATCAGGTGTCACGAGACGAGACCCTCCAGTCACGTTGAGTCTGCTCTGCTGGTCGCGCACATGAATGAGGTTTTCGGTCATGACGCAAATGCTTTGAGGGTAGAGGTTATTTTTATCGAGAGAGGAGAGGGGCGAGGAGAGGAGGGAGAGAGAGGGGGGGGAGAGGGGGAAATCACCACTCGCGAAGTCGCTCGGTCGTTGGCTTCGCCTCTCGCTTCCCCCCAACCCACCAGCCCTCTCCCTCTCCTTTCAACCGACACAGTTTAAATCCGCCAAGGACACGACGGATTTGGCCGAAGTTTGCCGAACTGGGAGAAGGAAAAGGTTCATGGGTCGATGAGGTTGACGTCTGCTCGTGGTGTTCTGCCCGCATTCCCCACGAGTCAAGGTGCTATTTTTAGCCAACCCGGTATCCTTGTTTGCTGTTTGGTGACTGACTGAGCCAGGCCTGAGCGCGAGGGTACCGAATGACTCGGCGAGTCAGCCCTACCTCGGCCAATCGTTGACCGAGTTTACAAGCGAGCTACAGCGATGTGGTTTTGAATACTATATATTCATTCGTGCGACTGGCTCAGGAAAAGTTGTTGATTCTACACTTGACTTGGGGTCACGCAGGATTACCAAATGACCTAGCAACCCGAGTTTGGAGGTCAATCGCTGTTAAGAGAGGTCATTTGAATATTATCGGGCCCGTGCTCTCATTGTTTCAAAAGAGAGTCAAGTAAGTGTAAAGAAAGAAAAAATAAAGAATTCTCATTCACCTAAAATCTTGATCTAGATCGCAGAAACAGGCCGGCATAAGGACATTTTTAGTGGATTAGAAAAGCAGTTGCATAAACCTTTATGAATCATAAGTTTTTATTATGAAATCATAGAAATAAAATTACTTTGACTCTTTTGAATGAAAAGATATCACAACAGCTTTTTTTTCTTTAATGACAAGAGCAAAGCAGAAAGAAAAGCGTGCAATTTATTAAAGTAGTTTGATTTTACTTCTAGAAATCTAGATCTAGTTTTTATTTCATTTCACCAGTAACTTTTCATCTAAATTAACAGACGACCGCGGG